ATTAAAGTACCTTTTTTTTTTTAATTGGAGCTAAACCGTTACATGAACATGCAGTACATCCACAACTCAAAATGAATGCCTTCTTCACAGTGCAATAGAGTCCTGTACAAAGCATAAATCAATGATATGTTAAAGCACTCTTCTCCATCGCTCTTCTTGCTACCTTTGAGCTTCATAACAACACCTAGGTCATGATTCTTTAGCTTAGGTAACTTCATCAAGTGAAAATATGAATATTTATTTATAATACAAACTTGCAGAATGCATTCTATCCACAAGACAATTTATGGAGAGATTATTATGCTGCATTGTGTATGATCTGTTGTTTAAGTCATGCTTGATGAAAAACAGTACTGGAGGGGCACAATTTTGTCGGTGGACTAATGGATACTTTTTGCCTTTTTCTTTTTTGAAGATTTTCAAATTCCCTTTTTCCTCTCCTTATTTGCTCAGCCAAATCCAAATGGTTTAATACTGATTGTATTTGTAAAGCTTGTAGTACAACTGTTATGGTTATCAATATAGATGTCAAATACTGTAGCCTTTTTCTAACTGTAAAATAGGTATCTATCTTTAGTGGTTTCTGTAAGCATTTCTGAAGAATTATGTGCTATTCTATATATTGCCACAGTCAAAAGTTTAGTTACATAAGTACCCGATTATCCTCTAAAACCCCAAAATATTAAGGACCTTCAAAATTTCATTATCTGTATAAAAGTTAAGCATATTTCAAACAAGTAAAAACCTCCAGCCAAGTAATTTTAAAAGGTTTAGATTTTTAGCTCCGATGGCCTCATCAATATACCTTATATTGATGGATAATCTGGAAACAGATTTTACAGTGGTGATATTAAATACCTGAATTAAACTTAAAAAGTTAGATCCCAAATCAAAAGGAATGCCATTTATATCAATCAAGTATTATTTATTTTATTGAAAATACCTCTTCAGTATTTACTTTGCCTTACAGGTTTGGGGTTTTTTTTTTCCAATTCACAAAAGCAGCACAAAAGGACATACTATCCATTCCCTTTAACAACTGACAAATCTTACTAGTATCCATGCAGTAACTTCTTAAAGCATTCAGTAACTACAAGATGAGCAATTAGAAGTGGAAAAAATGTGTGCTCCTGAAAGAAAATACTTCTTTAGATCATTACTTTAAATGTATAATTGTTTTTACACCTGCTATACTAGGAGAATACCCTAAGCAGTAACATACCTTTGCGGATTTTGAGATGTCTTTGTGATTACATTTAAACTTAATGTGGAAACTGATTTCAAGTATAACTCTAGGCACAAGTGTGGGAAACAGCATGCTGTCAGGACACAATCTTTCTAACTCACAAGGTATCAAATGGTACGTACTCAGGTTAAATTCTACCTTCTATGCAAACTTCATTTTCACCAAAGGATGTGCAGTTAAGTAGACAAACTAATACTGCCCAGCTGAAAATTTCATTGCTGCAGCAGAGATACAGAATACTTTTCCCACTGACCTTAAAGGCTGTGGTGGTATGACCAAGGTGTGACCAAAAGTTTGACTTTTAACCCAACACAAGTTTTCAGCTGTGTTAAATTCACCTGAACACAAAGAACACCTACTCCTTCTGAAGGAACAGCTGAGGATTTAAACAGTCTTTTCACCTTGAGCTGCTCCCAGTCTAGAGGTTAAAAAAAAGAAGTAATTAAAAAGGTATTCTGTCAATATGCTGATGCAGATTATGTTAAATTCTAGTAACACTCAAATAAAGTTATGTTCTAGCATTTATATGTATGTAGCACTCCATTATAATTTATGACAAAATTGAGAATTCCATTTGATCTCAAATTGCTTGGAATTAGATTAGGTTGCAGTTGTCATCCTAGCAATGAATCTCCCCATTTTTCCCCTTGACTGAAATACACGTATGATGAAAAAGTATATTTCCAGAAACAAGAATGTAATGGAAAAAATTCTCATGTTCACAATTGTTTTTCTAAGCCTCATTAGAGTCACATACTTTTTTTTTTGGCCCTGATTCATCCGCACTTTGTTATACCTAGGAATACTACTGTGTCTGAAGAAGAAAGTTCATCACTTATGTGGAATTACGTGTGTGATGTTGAATGGCTACGTACAAAACCATGCAGCTTAATATGCTCATGATACAATACTCAGATTTAATGCAGGAAAGGCATGATTAGAATATATAAATTAAAACATAAAATAACAATTAAATCAGTTCTTACAGCTATTAGAGCTTAGACTTCATTACAGCTTCCGCTCAAATGGCATTATATGTGCCCCCCCAAAAGAATTCAAATAGAAGTTGTAACCAAAATAAATATCAATGTGCAATATGTTGAAGAGGGAATACTATTTCCTTTAGAGTAATAAAAAAGTGTACTCCAAAAATAGAAAGCCACATTACACAGAATCAGGACTATTCTTTGGTCCACATTGAACATTCAAAACTGGTTAAATTATTGGTTTCTTTAAAAAACTGTCAACAGCAAACTTCAAATTGTATCTCTAGTCATGGTACACAGATTAGTTTCATAAACTCAGAATAACCCACAAAATTAAAAACAACCATTATTTTTAATTTTTTTTCCTGCAATATAGCTGGGGTTTTTGAGTCAAAACAAATTTTTTGATCATACTGATAAATTGGAAGTGTGTGGAATGTTTAAATCTTTAACAGCAGCAGCTTCTAATAAAGCAGCAGAAGCTTCTTCACATTAAATAGTATATTCAGTATTCCCCCCTCCTCCAAAGATCGTGTTGGTGTATTATTTGTTCTTTACTAGAAATTAATCATTAACAATGCACAGAATGTGCCTAGTGATACAATGCAGAGACAGGCAGAGCTATTTGAAGATAGCACTAAAAGATGTGTGGGCATCTGCACAACACACTATTGTCCAGAGGGAACCAGAGTACCATCAGTGCCATTCACACACAAGGTATCTTTGTAACCTAATAGCAAGAGGTAAAAAAAAAAAAGTATCTGAAGTAATTTTCTTTTTCTTGGACAAGTTATTTCAATTGTTAGTCTGTAAGGTATAGAACACACCCAAAAACATCACTCGTACATACATACCCCCCCCATATATATATTCATACACTGCACTTTGACTAGAGCACCTTATGTTTAACAATGCAGTTCCTAAGGATGTGGGATGAAACTTCGAAGTTTCACAGACATAAGGCCACTTACTCACACTTCCTTTCACTGCTGGAGTTATTATGAAGTTCATGCTATGATCAAAGAATACTTCATAGACAAACTATTTGTCCTCATATGTCCCTCACAAGAAATAGTTAAAAATTATTTTCTAATCAAATACATAGCTTTGTCTCTGTTAAGCCACTTAGGCATTATATTACCTGCCTATTCATTGTTGCGAGGCAGTAATGCCATATAAAGCAGAGACAACTAAGCACCTAACAATGTTTTAAAAGTGATTACAATGATCTACACAATAAAAATCATTTGGAGGAAGGTAACGACATCTGCAAAGATGCCTCCTTGTCAAAGGAGGAAAGTTACAATGGCAACAGTTTCATTGGCACTGTAATTAAAATGAAGAATGACGTTCATCAATAAAAGTTTTGTACATGTATTTCATAAGTTAGCAGTAGTCTGTTATAGTTTAACTTAGTGAAAGACAGCAAGACATTGATCAGTGGTAGCATGATAGCCTCGTACAATAAGTGAGAATCGAGATGCTCGAGGAAATTTGGAAACTGGGAAGAAGTTTAAGTGTGAGGCAAAGTCATGAGAATCTAAATTACTGAATACAGTGCTTCATAAAACAGTTGGTTTTGATCCAGACAGGCATTTTCAGGTTGTCAAACAGAAATGTTTTAATGTCTGTTGAGTAAGACATTATATCAAATAACCAAATTAATTAGAAATAGCAAAAATAGAACAAGAATGAAGATATAGTAACTTTTCTCTTAAATCCTCTCCCTTAATAATATATGTAACAAGGCACATTAGGAGAAATATTTTCAATTATTTTATTATTCAATTTGACTTAAAATACCTGAAACCAGTTTTCTCATAATTTAAGACAATGGGAAGAAGTTTGAATTGCCTTTTACAGATGTAAAAATTTCATTGTCTAAAGTGCAATGATTGTTATGCCAAAAAGTATCAGCAGAAAGAAAAAAAAAACAAGACAAAAAACCCAAACCATGAAACATAAATGTTTAAGACATTCAAAATAATGAGAATATGTTTTCAGCCTCATTTTAAAGCAATTCAGAGCCAAAATATAACACTGAAAAGGTTTATAAACCTATATTTTACCTTGTTCCCTGCAAAGCCCGTAACTGTACATTTTCCCAACAAGACTTAAATACTTTTAAAGAAAAAAAAAATTAGCATCCTTAGCACTTAAAGAAACAGTTTGTGGAGTAAAATAAAGGCAGACAGGTTAATTCATTATAATATTTTGAAGCACTCAGCAATACAGCTGGATTGTAAGTTATATTTTAACCATATTCTTTTATCTGTGCAGTAGGTACCAGTGGTTTCAACAGTCCTGAAAGTCTTTTTGACACCTTAACAGCAAAACCTTTGAGCAATTTACTCTTCCTGTCAGCATTAAAAACTGACTGCTGAAAAGTATTCAGTTGACAAAAGATGTAAAAGATTCCTTATTCCTCGCACAGAACTTTGGGCCCTTTAAATTTTGCACTTCATAAATAATTAGACTTAAAACTTCTATTCACTCCAAAACATTCACATTTACAACATTTCACATGCACAACACTACTGTCCCTTTTAAACTAGAAAAGCACAAACTCTACTGAAAGCTAAGTATTTGAAAGTTTCACATATCTTAATGTTTTCAAAGATACAAAGTGTTCAGAAACAAGGTAGTAAATACATTAGTGCTGCCCCACTTCCAAACTTTTGGAGTACAGTAACTATTTTAAACTCAACATTTTTGTTTGGTTGAAAACCAGTATATAATTTTTTTTTTCCCTTTCCATTTTCCTCATAGGTGTATTCTCTTAAAGTCTGTTATATTTGTGTGTTCTTTAAAGAATACATGTAGGTTTAAGAGTCCTATCAGGGCTTAAATAAATATAGGGAGCTTATTTGCAACAAGTAGCCTTTCTGAGGTTCTCAGAAGGGCTGGTAACCATCTGTATGTTTAAGACAAAATAATTTCAAGGAAAGCATCAATTTAAGATTTGTTTGTGCATACACAACAGATTGTACTTAGTAACCCTCATACAGTCTCCTTAAACTACTGATTTCTGACAAGCTAAGACCACAGAGAAGTGATGTGCTGAGCTTCAGAAAACTGCCGTGAGCCATTCTACACATAGTGCTAATTACATCAGGGTTGCTAAAGCTGTGGTTCTTAAACCCCATCAATATTCATCTATACTTCAAAATGGACCTAACAGTTGTTTTTAATGCTGAATAAGAATTTTCAGCATTCAAAGAGATTCTGCTAATACAAAGGTCAGTTATCTTGCTATTTTACCTGAATTCAAGTAGAATGTACGTTCGCAGTATTCTTCTACAATTACAATTTCAAAGCTTACCCACCAACAGTTAAGAATTAAACTCCAAGTCTGACACATACAGCAATTTTCAGGAGCGTCCCTTTATTTTATTACAACACTGTTAAGAAGAATGATCCCATCACCAAGCATTAACCTGACTGGCAGCTGTTCAAGGTGCTTTATCTCAACTTTGCACACATGGATTGCACCTTGCCTACGATGGAGGCACATAAGGCGCAGTGCAGAAGTACAACAGTTCAGACACTAGAGGACAGTCTGTTCATTTGACCGAACCTCTAGATTTGTAGTGCAGGTTCCACATAGCTTCCTCTCTCTTGCGCTAGAATTCAAGTTCGTAAGCTGATGAATCTGCTTTCAGGAAGCTTCTCTTCAGATTAAGATTTTGTTAAACTAGTTGATTTTTTCCCCCTTTTACATAGTCTCAAAGCGTTGCAAGAATTCTTGAAAATGATATAATTAATGTCAGTACTGTCTGTCCAACACCAAAGACAAGAGCTTCTAAGGGAGCCATATTCTTTCCTGCTACTCTGTAAATTCCAGCTACTGCAGCACCTAAGAATCACAAGAAAAACAATGATCAAATCACAGAAATAAAGCCAGGGCTGAAATATGAGACAAACCTTTTACTGTGTCTATGCATCAGCTATTTATAGAACATTACCAAACACTGTATTACTTCATGGCATTATAGAATTACTAGTCTTGCTTGTATTTTTCTAGTTGTTATGAAAGTCCTTCGGGAATGATTTTCCCAACTGAACCAGATTAACTTTTCCAACATCAGTTTGATTTAAGAGAATTGAATCGTACCATTTCCCTGTAGACATCTTCAGATCTTTTTTACATCTTTGCCTTCTGCCAATTTGAAAAGGTAGCAAAAAAATCCTTTAAAAATTGACCGAGTCCAAAGTGTGGTTTAATAGTGCTTGTATAGGCAGGGAGAAGATAACAACAGTAAAACTGCTAGTGTCTACAAAATAACTGTAAACACTTACACATCTACCAGCTGCATTTAATATTTCAGTTAAATAACCTGGTCATATTGTGTCAGTTTAGTTTTGACTTAAACTACTAAATTGTTAACAATTGTTTAGCAAATCAAGCAAAACATGAAAGAGATCAAAGTATTTCATTGTTATCCATGAATGTGTATGAGAGGAAATTTCTATCCAATATGATTAGATTTTGAGCTATAACACATTAAAAATCAAGAGACCATTTTTCTTGTACAGTTGTGTGAAATTTCCATTTAAAGTATAACATAAAATGGCCAGGATAGACCAGAAACAAAGTACTACACTGCAAACAAAGCCAGGTGTTACTAAATCCCTTTACTGCCTTTCACATGCTGAATTTATCACATGCATTTGAAGAACAAAAGTCACAGAGCAAATGGATAGCTGTGATGTCTTGGAGCAAATACCTGAGAAAAAGATCAGTCAAAAAAATAACACGCTAATCATGAATAACATTTTCTGCCCAAACAACTTCTGAGCCTTTTAAGGATACTAAAAATGTTCATTCAAAGAAGAAATACAGCTGTATTGTATACAGCTGTATCCGTAGGTAAAAAATTTACTCAATCCAACGCTCAAAAGTTCACCTAGAACAAAGCTTTTATTTAATACTTTTTGAACGAGCATTTTCTATAAGTGCTTGCTTTCTTTGCCTAAAGAACAAACATTAAGTATATTGTCCTTTATTTCAAAATGAATGGATTTTTCCTGAAGACCAAAACCTAAAACTTATAGACCTTCAGTATGTATGGTCTCAGATGCTGCCTAATGATAACTAAATGCTTTCAAAGATCACAGAGGCTTTTTCAAGACTCAAAGAAAACTGAAAAGCCATCACCATTTTTTGTTAATTAATAGGCAAGAGTTAAAAAAATTTGGGATTTTCTTGTTTTTGCACAGTCACTAACAGGAATAGTCTGCTGAAGTGATCAAAACCCCATTAGTGACACGGAAATACATTAAGTCCCAGCAGATTTTCTGAAAGTACAATCTGTGTCTGGATATAATCCGATATCTTAAGAAAGTAACACCTCATTTTTACAAAAATTTTAGGAAGAGTAGAATTCACTAATAATTGTGGCCATAACAATATTATAAACACTATTAATCAGACTGTTAGGTGAATAAGTTTTGGGGGTGTTTTTGTTGGTGTTGTTTTTTGAAAAATATTCTGTAAAGTATATTTTGTCAGAAATATCTCACCAGAAGGCTAGCCTTCTGGTATTTCACTCAGCTACATTGCATAAGCTTTTCCATTTGTTCCTTGACTATCTGCTGTCAAAAACTGAAAAAGATCCTTTAGACTGATCCCAATACTGACATTAAAATTATTTTGGTGATTGAACTCTCAAAGTGAATTCAAATCAGTCAAACTGATTAACTAATAGCATCAAATTCTGGTATCCCAATAACAGAAATTTTTGGCTTCTTGAGAAAACATTGAGATATTCTGGAAAATATTAATAATAAAATGATAAAAAATTGGTAGTTTGATAATTATGTATTTATACTTGTCAAATAACAGTGTGCAATACAACCTATAATGCATAACCCAGCACAATTGGTATAGAGCCAAAGTATACTACAATAGGCTGCCAATGAGGGAAATGAGAATATGTCAGCAAAAAGGGGTGTGTTTGGGGAGAGGAGGAAGAACAGATCCCTTCTGGATGAAATACAGCTAAAATCCTTGCCTCAAACCTCCTGGCATTTATCTGTTCTTGGTTTTGGGTTGTTTTGGAGGTTTTGTTTGGCTTTTTTTGGGGGGGACAGTATCCACTGCTATTTAGTAAATTTTTTTTATACCTTTTTTATAACCATTAAGTTCCGTGATTTTTCAAAGCCTAGAAACTAAGGGGTTTCCTGCTTTTCTATATGCTGGTAAAAACATCCCAGAAGGCCAGAAAGTTTCTAAGATCTACCTGAGCAAAATTAAACCTGCATTATTTAATAATCTATACTGCATTCATTCACCTACACAAACGATGCAGAGGACTGGAAATACAAAATGGAAGCTGAAGTCAGTTTGTTATTTCAATTTCTTAAGCACTGGACCAGGCATATTCAAACAACTAAATACTTCAACGTGCATCTCAGTTTGCAGCACAATAGCTATTAAAAAATCCTCTCTTTAATATTTTATCACCATAATTTGTCTTCAGAAGTTCCCTGCAGAATTTCTTTCAGTATGAAACAACCCAGTGCTGTCCAGAAACAAAAATATCAGAAAGAAAGTATTTGGCTAACCAAATTGCAATGCTCTCTGCAATACTTTTGGGAACAGCATAGCAAGTCTACAGTCTAAGCTTGGAAAAATTCTCAGGTGAATTTACACATAAACAGTATTGCTTACTTGTTAAGTGTTTTGATCTGCAAAACTGTATGCCAGAAATACAACTGTGTTGCTCCTCTTTTTATGCATAGATAAGAGACACAAAGTACTTTCATTCAAGAAACACTGAACCTTCCCCACCACAGAATACTGCAAAAGTCTCTGCTTGGATATTCCAGCATCACATTTCCTATCTTCTGTTCTTCAGAAATGTTCATGCACGATTGACCTTGTAACAGGGCCACTGCCATTTCAATCATAGGACAAAAATCAGCATAACATGTAATGTAAGGCACTCAGCTGGTTCCACCTTACCTTAGCAAAAAACAAACAAAAAAACAAAAAAACAAACCAGTAGAATTTTACTGTACTATACTGTGCTAAATGATGGAAATTCTAGGCTAAGAAATATATAGTAATTAAAACAACCTTTTGAGGAAAGTCTTAACAGAACTTTTCATGAAATTTGCGTTTTTATTTAATCTTGAAAACCAACAGGCAAGAGGGACTTTCAGTAGCAATAAGAAATAATCTGTCACAAATCATCCATTAATGTGTTCACAGCTGAAGTGATACCACTATTCTGATAATCTGGGCAGTCCACAGAAAAATGGGAATGAAAGGCAGCAAGGCTTGCCTACAGTTTAAGACTAAATGATGGTTCCTTATCCTCAAATGCCTTTCAAGTTAGACCACCTTAACAACACTGAAGATATTCGGGCAGAAACTACTGCTCGAGTTAACATAGGCCCCATTCAGTCCATTGATTTTAATGTTGAGAACTCCTTACCAGCATTGTTTCGGATAACGAAGCACAAGCTTCTTTCCTGTGAAAATAATATTCACTGTTTCTTTTTCCCCACCCAAACAGAAAACTCACCATGCTCCTATTTGCTTGGGAAAAGTACTCTAGTCTATTTATAAGTTAGATAAAAGTAGCTGGATATGATTAAGCCAAAGACTGAATAAAGTGTCCTACTGATCTTATGGCATATGTTTCAGTATTGATACAGACAACAGAATGTCTTAGGAAAGACGGAAAAACAGTATCTGATACCAATAACTCTAGATGAAAACAGCTAAGCAGCATTTTCTCAAAACATTCTTGGCAACATCACTTGTGTGCCATATTTGGCCAGGTATAACACTTCCGCACTTTACTACATAAAATACTCCTGCTTTCTGCAATGTTTTAATGAGTGTAGGCTTTAACTATAGCTGTGAACCTTCCAGCATGCTGCTTTAACAGAAAAATGGTTAGCATCTTATCTGTGGATACAATGTCAATGTCAAGAAATAAAAAGTATCTAAAATGTATCTTGAGTGGTAGGCATTAGACTAACACCATAAGAAACTAACAGATGCCCTTACCAAAGAGCATTTTACCTAGAACAGCACAAAATTTCTTTTGTGGGGGCGGGGGGGAAGTCTAATGGCCTTCCTCCCTCTTTCCTCCCTACCCCAAATAAACTAGAAAGTAGCAGTGTGGCCAGCCAAGACTGGAAAGTTCTTTCAAATCCATGAGCCAAATGTAAAGTCTCCAAACAAACAAATTTTCTTAGCTGTAAGTCATACCTACATTGCAATCATCTTTCTTTTAAAAGAGCAACATCCTATCCAGGTACAATTTAAAAACCTCCAGTAGGTCCAAGGAAATGAGCAGGAAGTCAGCCTTGCAACCAATGGAATCAGGACCTCATTTCCAAAAGAAACTCATGGCTTTAAGAGTACTAAGAGGTGATCTTGATCGGAAACTTTTGACAAAAAAAAAAAAATCTGCAACAAGTAAGGTAGGACAGGACTGCTCTTCCTGATCCCAAGTATTACCTGCTGAGCATACAGCTTTTGAATAGCTTGGTGCCCAACGTTTCCAAAATGAGAGTAGGATCATTTCTGCACTCCTCTGACAATTTATAGTAGTTTTATCTTTACACAATAGAAGAGCAACTCAGCTGTCATTATCATTAGGATAGCTATGTAACTAAGGCAAAATCCTTAATAAACAATTAACAAATCACTAAGAAAAAGATGTCGGTTTTTTTTTTTTTTAGAAGTTAGATATAAAATAAGAAAGAAAAAAACAAAACAGAAAGACAGACTTACTGGTTATCATTGCTCCAGTTATAGAACCCAGAAATCCAATGCTGACCACAATGACAGAGATCAGCCTCCCCTGCCTATGCCTCTGCAGCATCACAAACATTAATACTCCCACAGCACCATGGACAAAGAGAGAGGAGAAGAGAGCCCAGAGGAAAACCCAGTACCACATCTCTGAAAGAAAGCAGTCAAATAAAGGGTTAATATTTCTGAGACAAAAACTTTATAAGTAAGAAACTTTAAAACATTGCATACAATCAACAGTAAGAGAAAAGCAATACCGATTTCCATCTTAAAAGGAATCTACGACAACATCAGCATATGCTCAAGACACTTTCCCCCTTTTAGCAGTCTATCATAAAGGAATAACTCTATTATGATCAAAAAAATATAAAAAGGATTCTGGCACAATTCTTAATTCAGATGTATGATTACAAGAAGTCCGTCATTCTTTTAATGATTTCTTTAAACAATGTTAATTGCAATTTCTTACTAGGTATTGTAACTACTCCTGCAGAATGAAATATTCTCTGAAACAAACACTGAACCAGGAAAAAGTCAAGAACTGTTTTGGTTTGTATGGTGGGGTTTTTTTTGGTTTTGTTTTGGGTTTTGTGTGGTGTTTTTTTTTTTTTTTTTTTTAAACACACAAGAAGAGACAGCTACAGGTAACATCAAATGGGAAAACTGAGATTAAAGACTTCAGTTTATCTACCCAGGAGCTGTAATAGTGTTTCATCGAATTAGCTTCAAAGACACAAATAAAACCACCACAATTTTAACATGAAATTTTAACACATCTAACTGCTTACTTCTAATTACTTAGCACAGAACTTCATAGAGACAGGTAGACACTATTATTTAAATTACTAAGCAAGGACAAGAGATCATGAGAATGTGTGGAATACAAACATTTCTCTGAAGAATGGCAGACATGATCATTACCTTAAAAGAAAAGAGCAGGAACTATCAATGAAGCTACATAAGAATTAAAGAACCTTTCTCACTAGCTGGTGATTTTCTAAAAACATTTACTATAACTCAAAAGGGTGGGGAAATGCAACAAAATGGAAAAAGTGTATTTTAAGTCAACTACAGTAGGTATATATCATCACAGAATTCAGCAAATTGGGGCACATTTTCCTGATTGACATAATCCCATGAAACTATCATTAATTCAGACTTTTTGCTACAGTTCCCCCCCCAAAAAATAATACAGCTTCCTTACAACAGCAGGATACTTATTGTTTATGAAGTGAGCCTGTATTATTGCAGCTTGACACACATCAGTCATTTGAGCAGAAATATGACCCAATTAGCTAACTTTAAATACTTAACAGCTCAAACAAAACATACTGTGAAAGGATGCTGAGAACGAATGGTTGCTACACAATAGCCACAGCCCTTTGAGTCCAATGTCAATATTGCATGTATATCCATAGCACAAATACAGAGTTTAAGCTTTTTCATTTAGCAGTACACTTTGAGAGTAGACTCAAGCTGTCCCCTTTCACACAGGCATAAAGGCAAAGCTATGTTATAGGACTTACAGCTCCTCTAAATCATGGTAACCAAAAGGCTCTCTTAAGAGAGCAACAAGGAAGGTGGGTGGTAAATCTACATTCAATTAATACTTCAGCTGTAGTTAAAGAGGTAACTTTTCTTTAAGTGCTTGGATATATGCACACATATATTGAGGGTGGCTCCAAGCAGCCCTCCTCAGATCCTCCATCCCTTCACCGCTGGCCCCAAGTTGGGTCTCAAAAAATCTTTGCAGAAGGATAATGACCACAGTACCGTACCACTAAACGTCTCTTCATTCTCAGAAGCTACTGTGACAGAACAGTGGTGAGAGTGCCAGGTAGTCACTCTACAAATACCTGACAAACCCCCTCACTAACATTAAGAAAGATTGACTGATTGCTGATCTAATCCGCCATGGTCATGGATAGTTTGGGAGGGGAACCTCTCCTGCAGTCCCAACAGGCCTTGTCTGTTACTAGCACAGCTTGGGCGTTCCCATTGTTTTTTTTCTAGTGGAGGCAAATAAGGAAGGAGATTTGCCAAGAGATCTATCAATATAGAACTCAGCAGCCCTGCTAGACCTACAGTTTGACCATAGGGAAATAATCCCTAGGAGATGGGGAAAAAAGTTTACTTTCCTGCAAACAAGTCACATACAACTTCGGGCAGGAAAACCCTGTCAGGAAGGAACACTTTCATTCTTCTAGCATATGTCAGAAGAGCTACCAGGGAAGACCCTTTCATTGAAAGATGTCACAAAACCAGATTCCCAACAGCTCGAAATACTATTGTATCACAATGACAACAACTAAGCTCCTGTCCCATGGGGACCATTTCCTTGAGCACCAAGTAGACTGTTAGCAGATACTTAATAAGTTTCAGAGGTATGGACTGAGCAGACTATAGTACAGCAATAGACTGAACAGGTCCTCAAGTCTAAACTGCTTTGGCAACACTGGCAGTGAAAAAACACAAGGTCTATGTCCTGCTTTACCATCTGAATAACCATGAAGAACAAAAGTTAGAGAAAAGAACTCTAATATGGGAAAATTAAGAACGTATCTAGCAGGTGAGAGCAAGCACTTCCTTGCTTGCAGATGTTGATCTCCTAAGACCTTCAATCCTAGAAGATATTATGTGCATTCCTTGGATCTTCCATTTTAGTTCTCCGCAGTAACGTGGTTGAGCCCGTCTCCCACATTATTCAGAAAAGCACAAAACTAAACTGCTGGCAGCTGAACATGATGCTGAATGCACCATTTCAAAAGATAACTTGTTCTTACACAGAAGAGGATGTTTTGCCTTGTTTGCCAGTAAATACTGTAGTGGAGATGCTACTTACTTTCTAGACACAGAACCCTTTCCTGCAATTAAGTCTGTAACAGAATTTTCATACCACTCAGACTATACTGATAGGATGTTTTGCCTTGTTTGCCAGTAAATACTGTAGTGCAGATGTTACTTACTTTCTGGACACAGCACCCTTTCCTGCAATTAAGTAACAGAATTTTCATACCACTCAGATTATACTGATATGCAAAATCATAGAATGGTTTGGGTTGGAAGGGACCTCTAGAGGTCATCTAGTCCAACCCCCCTGCCAT